TCTACGTTTATGTACCGGTCTCTGACCGTCGCGACCGATAAGAACGCTTGAACGATAAGAACGTGATTTCCCACGTGATTTTCTCGTAATTTTCTTGATAATTTTTCTCGTAATTTTCCTCGTAATTTTCTCGCAATTTTCGTCGTGACTTCAATCCTGATCTTCATTGTGAGCTGCGAACAATCGTCGAGATCTACATGGCACAGATGCATCTTTAAGGAGCTCCCAAATTAGCCATTTCACGCAATCGACGGACTTGCACTTAACCATAGGAACGCTACAAACACATAGAATAAGCAAAATAATGATTGTAAAACGTTGTATTAATGTGTATTGTTATTAATGAATAAATATATGTATTCTGAACATCACCGTCTATNTCTCGTAATTTTCTTGATAATTTTTCTCGTAATTTTCCTCGTAATTTTCTCGCAATTTTCGTCGTGACTTCAATCCTGATCTTCATTGTGAGCTGCGAACAATCGTCGAGATCTACATGGCACAGATGCATCTTTAAGGAGCTCCCAAATTAGCCATTTCACGCAATCGACGGACTTGCACTTAACCATAGGAACGCTACAAACACATAGAATAAGCAAAATAATGATTGTAAAACGTTGTATTAATGTGTATTGTTATTAATGAATAAATATATGTATTCTGAACATCACCGTCTATTTATTTAACCCATATACCCCTCCTAAGTCCAAAAATTTCTCTGAAACTATTCGGAATTATGACTGACTTGCACTACTGAAATTTCGAGTATCAGGAGGACATAATCTCGAGGAGGTATCCTAAAATTCATTGACTGGCTTGTTATTGATTTGTACCACTGAATTTTGGCAAATTTTCGAGTTTTCGAAATCTTTTTCTGGCCTGTTATTGACTTGTTCTAAACTTACGAGAAAATTTTTCGAAAAATTTCCGATTTTCGAGATTTCAGTAGTACAAGTCAATAACATGCCAGGCAATGAATTTCAGGATACCTCCTCGGAAAATTATGTTCTCCTGATACTCGTAATATCAGTAGTACAAGTCAATCGCAAGCGAGAAAAAGCATAGCTAGATAACTCCTCGCAAGGAGGAGGAAGGGATTCAAGAAAAGATTAAAAATATATTAAATGAAGAGATAACGGGAGGAGAGTGGGAGAAGAGAAATGGATGGAGGAGATAGATGGAGATAAGAAAGGAAATGAGGGTGGAAGGTTATATTAATAATAAAAATATATTAATATATATAAGGTGAGAGAAGGGGAGGGGGGATGATTGTGAAAGAACTAGAGTAGCGAAGTGCAAATGGGGAAGAATGAATGACAGGGAACAATTAATACTAACTACATTGAAAAGACGTTTGGATTTAGTTTTAAAACTGTTGCTTTATTAGTATAAATTATTACAACGTATGTATGTAACAAGTCCAGTCAGAAGTTATGCCTGCGTACATAACGCAGTTTCTCGAAACAGATGTGGCGCTATCCATGCGGAAACGCTCAAGCTGCTAGTGAAAAGATATCGACGCGCTGCTCGGGTACGAAGCAGATGTGGCGCCATCCGTGGCGAAACGCTCAAGCGGCTAGCGAAAAGTTATCGATTCGATGCACGTTTTCGAATATGTGGCGCCATTCGTGGGGAAACGCTCAAGCTGCTAGTAAAAAGTTATCAACGCGTTGCTCGAGTAGGAAGCAGATGTGGCGCCATCCGTAGCGAAACGCACAAACTGCTAGCGAGAAGTTATCGATCCGATGCACGTGTTTGAAGATGTGGCGCCATCCGTGGCGAAACGCACAAGCTGCTAGCGAAAAGTTATCGACACGTTGCTCGGATACGAAGCAAATGTAGCACCATCCGTGACAAAACGCTCAAGCTGCTAGTGAAATGTTATCGACCCTATGCACGTGTTTGAAGAAGTGTTGCGCCATCCGTGACGAAACGCTCAGGCTGCTAGTGAAAAGTTATCGATGCGTTGCTCGGGTACGGTGCAGATGTTGCGCCATCCGTGGCGAAACGCTGAAACTACTAACCGAAGAACTAGTAGTGCCATCCGTGGCAGAACGTTGAAACTGTTGGCCAAACACTTAGCTAATAGTTTAACAGATGGCGCTACAAGTCCAGCCTATCGCTATCCTTGTCGCACACTCAGCTGTTCTTCTCTTACTCATTACACAGCATGAAGATAGAAATACATGTATGAAATTTATTTACTTGGCGCACTATCAATGCTATGTAATAATGTATTATGTCATATCATAGGACTCATGTATTCCTTAGGTAGTGTTAAACGTTATGAATACATACAGTGGAATGGAGCATGTGTTGTTTCATATTGACAATGAATCTGAGAACAAAAAGATAGCTGCTCAGGATTGTTTGCGTTATGATGTGGCACCGTGAATTGTATCAAAATTTAATCTACGTGCAATTGGAAGTGAATAGATCGTTTGTCAAAATTTTCATTACTAAATAATACATAGGAAATATAACCTCAACAAATTTTGTTTTTTTGTGAATTAATCATAATTTGAGGTAGTAATTTTGTGTTAAATTGACACTGACGTGTCAGAATTACGTAACTTTCTCCGAAGATATTGTTTTTCCTATGTGTCATTAAGATAAAGAATAGTCGGTTTCCTGCAGCTCAAAGTTTGGTTAAGTGTCTGCCTACGTGTCAAACAAGGTAAAAGATATATTTCTCATTTTCTGTGAATATATCTATAACTTTCGTATGTAGTGTTCTATTTAGCTACTTACACACGTGTGATTGAACTTGTAAATAAATATTATTACAATCAAATTTGTCCTGCACGGGATGTACATTCCATAACTTAACACGAAGTAAAATGTCAGAGTTCTTATTAATTGAAAGGTCTTTAATCCTTGAATGTTCTATTAACAATCAGCACGAAAAATATAAAAAGAAACAATGGGAAATGAATCTTGGAATGTGCTGGTGACGGGAGGTGCTGGTTATATTGGTTCTCATACGGTATTGGAACTATTAGCTGCCAATTTTAAGGTGGTGGTAATAGACAATCTTAGTAATACTTACAAAGGTAAGAAATGATGAATCTAATTACAATTGATATTCAGTGATGTTATATCATAATCTAATAAACTCGTATCTACCTTTATGGAAGTTACTTAGATGTCAACTTGCATTGTTACAATGTAATATTAATTTTTGTATTTGATTCACAGGCGACAATGATTTAAAACCAGAATGTTTACTGAGAGTAGAAAAATTAACAAACAAACAAATTATATTTATTCCTTGTGATATAACAAACATTAAAGAGTTAAAAGATATATTTAAGAAGGTATGATTGAGATTTTTATAGAAACCAAACATCCAACTGAAGCTACAGTGAATCTTATATTTTAGTATAAATATCATTGCGTTATACATTTTGCTGCTTTGAAAGCAGTGGGTGAATCATGCGAGAAACCATTGGAGTATTACAAAACCAATATCAGTGGAACTCTGAATTTGTTAGAAACAATGAGGGAGTACAATGTAAAGCATTTAATTTATTCTAGTAGTGCCACTGTTTATGGAGTACCCGAAAAGCTTCCACTAAATGAAAATATGAAGACCGGTAATTGCACGAATCCTTATGGAAAAACAAAGTACATGGTTGAAGAAATTTTAAAAGATTTGTGTGCGTCTGACGAGGTATAATTGTGTTGTCTCGTATTTCTATGTCTTGTGTTTTACAGTTTGAAGAAATAGTTTTAACAAAGATATTTCTAGGCATGGTCCGTCATATCTCTCAGATATTTCAATCCGGTTGGAGCTCATCCTTCCGGTCAGATTGGAGAAGATCCCAATGGAATACCTAACAATCTGATGCCATATATCGCTCAAGTATCTGTTGGAAAAAGAGAAATGCTACACATTTATGGCGATGATTACGATACCGTTGATGGAACAGGTTGGATCACTGGAAACATTAGTAGCAACGATTCGACATAAATATGCGGTACATATCTAATTGTAGTTCGGTTTACAGGCGTCCGTGATTATATTCACATTGTGGACTTGGCATCGGGTCATGTGAAAGCAATGATCTATCAAAAAACTAAAGATTCAAGTGGATTCAAAGCGATCAATTTGGGTACTGGAAAGGGTTATTCGGTGCTTGAAGTTGTCAGTGCCTTCGAAAAGGCATCTGGTCAGAAGATACCGTACAAAATTGTTCCACGTAGAGCAGGAGATATATCTGCCAGTTACGCGGATGCTACTATAGCTAATAAAGAATTAGGATGGCGAGCCACTAAGAATATTGATGACATGTGTAAGTGTGTTATCTAATCTGCAATGTATTTGTTATCTAGTCTGCAATGTATTTTTTAGGCGCAGATGCATGGATGTGGCAACAAAATAACCCAAATGGTTATAAGAAATATTAATTATAATTGCTAATGCATTTATCTGTTAAATATTGTTGTAATTGTTTTACCATTTTTAACGATACAACTCTAGTTATTTAAATACAAGCCATGGTGGTATCTGGTTACCAAAGTTTCGACCAAAGCTCAACATAAATGTATATTTATCTACTGATAAGCCATTCCTATGTTGAAATTGATTTACTTTCCATAATATGGTGTAGATATAGAATAATCAAAAACATTGATCTTTTATATGGAAGAAATGAGTACGTATTACTATTAAACTATTGTGCCATATGAATATGTATTGTGTATGTACACAACAAACCCACAATTGGATTCACGTTAAAAGCTGACAATATTAAATTAACAATATTAAAGTACAAAATGGAAATTTACATTACATTTGTACGTATTGTTAAAATGTGCAATAAATACCGATTCTATCGAGCATTGTAATCTATATCCCGAAATCTTGAAGTTTTAAATGGCAATTTTCAGTAGAATTAATTTAGTACGATTTACTCGCTTTTGTAATTTCGCGCGCTATTATGTTCTCCACGAACGTACTACGGGGACTGAGAAAGTTGCTGTTGTTGTCGCATATATATTTGCTCCATTGGATAAATGGTCGCTTAGAAGGGGAAACCGGGCTCTATACAGCGTCAATTATTCAGTGGTTAAAGTTGAAACTGTTTAACTGTCGGTAACTATATCGGTAATTTTGTCTACCAATTTTATCATTTTGCCGCTATGATAATTAGCACTGTACGAATTTTAGAGCTTCCAGATTTCACCACAAATGGCGCCACTGTTTGGCTAGCAGTTGCAGCGTTTTGCCATATTACCTACTGGCGCTGTACGAATTCTGAACGGAGCTACTTGATTTCACCACAAGAGGCGCCACTATTACTTAACCAACAATTGCTAAGCTAAGCCCATCATTTTGTCTGCCGTGGACATCACTGACGATACTGACATACGTTTTTGTATACATACATGTATGTGCACTGCTTTTCCCTTTGAGTGAAATTCACTTTGATTATTTTCTTTTGAAGTGCAACTTGTTCGAAACGACATGACGTCAGTTCAAGACCCGTTGAAAGAGGACACACAAATAGAGCCTGTTCCCGGTGCGGACAGTATAGCGGATCGCAATTCGAGATGTGATTCACCGAAACGTGGAACTACGCTGTCAACTAGCACAAGTAGTTTCGAAGCTTTGGATCCTCACGATCCGAATCTGAGCCGTTTAGCGAACACGATGTTCCAGAAAACTGGCGAGTATTTGCAAGAAGAATTGACAGCCACGCACGCCGACTATCGTTTGTTGGAACGATTAAATAAAGAGACGATTGCCAAGTGCACCGAATTAAAAACCATATCCTCGAATGTAGCACAGTCGTTGGACTCGTTAAACGAGAAATATAAAAAATTACAACCTATTCTGGATAATATCAATGAGATTGATGATAGTGTGACGAAGCTAGAACAAGCTGCGTATAAATTAGCATCGTATTCAAAACGATTAGAAGCAAAGTTTAAAGACATCGAGAAAGATACCAGAAACAAGTGAACCTGTGATATGTAAATGTGCGTGTGTATGTAACAAACGTGTTGATTAGATGAATATACATGTATGTACATATATAATAAATGCATATACGATAGATGAACGAATCTATCTTACCGCGTAGTAAAAGACAAGTTTGTCTTTATGTTAAGCATAAATGTGCAATCAATTTGTGTACATAGTATTCTAGTATTATTTAATTACAATAGCAAGTCAATTTACATGTTTCTTTTCTCTATATGCATATCCAGGTTCAAAATAACGGCAACCAATTATTGTATTTATAATAAACGTATTTTGTATAATGATACTGTAAAAAATTAATGTGTTACATGCTGCCTTACGATATATCACATACTGTTTTCTTTTTTATAATTCCGTAATTACTCTAACTGTATTGTAGTCTACTTATCAATCTACTTTACTTGAAAAATATATAAGGTATTGTTACAGAAATTGTTAAACAATATTGTACAGGAAGTAATTTATACTATGCGCATAAACCAATAAATAATTATTCTTAAATATAATGGAAACTTATTGCTACAGAACCATATCCTGATTTCCATTATTCTCATCTCTATTCTGGTTAGAGGCTCTGTTAATTTACACGGTACAAACGATTGCAGCGTCGGGGATTATATATGTGTATATACATATATGTATGTGTATATATATATATATATATATATACACATATATACATATGCATGTATGTATCTATATATGTAATCGATATATGTATTGGCTGCTGATTCGGATTTCTTTGAATGCGATAATTTATTGTATCACCGATATATGTAATAAAGCCGAGTCAATCGAGTACAATCTCTCGATAAGAAATTACACGGTAGTTCTCTCAGGCAACTTGTTCTCTAAAGTTTATAATGGTTATGTTAAAGTACTCGAAACACGTTAATAAAATTTTCAATTCACACCCGCGGATCTCGTCATTTAATCGACTTAAATCATTTGTTTTTGAGATTGCATTATAGCACCGAATGTTTTAAAGTCACAAGTGTAAATTGAAGAACACAAGATGAATAGGTTCTTCAAGAAAGTGTCATTGCTGATTTGGCAAATCTTGAAGTACAAATAGTAACCAAAGCTTTTGTTAGAATCCAAATATAAATTCCATCTAATTGCTGGAATCGTTTGACTTAACAGTCTAAGAAATTTCCAGCCATCAATAGTTCCAATGCAATCTCGGGAGCGATTGGAAATTCTGGTATTTCTGTGCTGCTATGCGTATAACGTACTTTGTAGGTAAAATACATACATACTTTCTGTAATACGTGAGATCTGCAAGGAAAATATATATAGACGATTCAGTATATTTTTTCGTCAAAGAATTTTAGAAAGAAATCTGTAGAACTTACGGAATTTCACGAAAGTTTACTTCATTGGCTTCATTTTCAGCAAACTGGCCAGGCCCGCTCAACATGGCTTTTATCGTTCCACTGGTTAAAGCATACTCGCGTCTTATAAAGAATTCATGCCCATCGCTACTGACCAATTTGACATACATCGCATGTGGCCCTTCATAGCCACCATAAGCTGGTTTTCCTTCCTAAAATTTTAAGTAGCAATTCACTATTTGTTATCTCAAAGATATACCTACATATAATATCATTAATTCCAACTACCATACAACAGAATCTATCGTTAATGAACAGAAGACAGGATAAATAATTGTAGAAATAAAATAAAAAGATTAAGCAGCAAAACTTTAATTTGCAGAAATAGGTACCGCATGCAGGTCACTAGATGAACTGTCTTCTTCTTCTTCGCTGTTATTGACAGTTTCTTCCGCATTGGGCTTGATCCAAAGAAAAATAAACATTAATTAATCAATGAACTTTTTACCATGACTTTCCTGCTTTCCAATAGAGGAATCAATCAATTAGCAGCCCGATTGTGTACATTTCTTTTAAAATATATTTTAACATACCCCAATAGTCATGCAAGTGTTAGACATGCATAATATTTTAAGCAGAACACGTACCTTTTCCGCTTGCGTGTTCATACCGTTTGACATGTTTTATGAGAAGTTGCGTAGTATCGTAGTATCTGTAGAAGGAACGAGTCACATTATTCGTCGATACTTATTCGATCGTCATGTGTAAAATATATGATACATACTATGACGCTTCGTGTAAATGACAAATTAATTAATAATCATTGAACTATTATAAAGAATATTGTAATATCTTTGTTTAAGAATGAACCTATGTCTTTATCCTAGGTCCTATACCATCCAGTTCCATTTGCATACATATCTTTGTTCTTAACGAAAAGTCAGATTCCCGTTCCGTCATTTCGTGCTGATAAAAAGGTTATTTTAAACTCATACGTGTTACGAATTACGTAGGGCATTAGTGGAGAAACAGATGCACGAATGAAGTTATGCATCGACAGAAAAATAATTGGATATTCTTGCATCTAGGCTAAATTTTACGCTACGAGTTGAAATTGTTTCGATAGACTGGGAAAAAGAACTTTAACACTGTATCATTTGTCCCATACGATTCACACAATAACAAGCTATGCCTACCTCGGTAAAATGGAAATTCTTATAAAATTCAGACTTTTCGATTCACAGTAAAGTTTTCTAACAAGTGCAACAGCAATTAATATGGCTACTAAGAATGTCGGACGGATTTCGATAAGTCGAATCACGTTTCTCCATCTTCAGTTCAGCAGCGCTGGCGCTATCCGTTGGTAGATCAAAACTGGCGCGCAAATGCCCGTTGTTTCGTTATCTTAGAAATCAACAAATCTTAAAAAACAGGTATTCAATAAAGTTCTTTTATCGTTCGTAGTTCAGACAACGAATAAATGGTTTTTTAAAGCTCATCGAAACACGTCCGATCTTTTAAATATTTCGTATATGATTGATAAGATCGGTTTAATCTGTTCGCATAACGTCCGAAATTTCAAACGATGTTAAATGTAAACAATGCGATTCATTTGATACGATAATATAGAATAATAACGTATAATCAAATACTTTGTATATCAATATTTTTAGACAACAACGAATACGATGGATGAGATTCGCGAAATATTGGAGCTGACCGTTATCAAAGAGTCAGATTTGCAAAATCTAACGCAAACATTATATTTCCCAATTGACAACAATTTGGAGATGTGCACAAAACTGTTGGAACGCGATATGAACACTTGCTAGAAACTATCAAGGTAAGGGGCAGGTATACTACAGTTTATATTCGATAACTTGTTATTATGTGTAACACTTTAGTTTAACATTTCAGAGAGAGGGGACTAAAGACATTATAGAAACAGAAACTTCTAATTCCTGTTTGCTAATACCAAATCTAAACTTATTCGAACAAATCAATGTATTTAGGTAGAAAATGCAAGCGTTACAAGTACTTCTGTATAAGTGGACAAGGAAGGAAGCAAATGGAGAAAGAGAAAAGGTCTACTACAGCAGAATCTATGTTCCGCCCTTTTTTACTTGTTACAAACATTTCTTTTGCATTTCAAGAACTTGACAATGGACAAACTAAATGTTAATACTCTGCTGATTAAATACGCTAGATGCTCGTTGATAAATGGAGTGAAATATTATAGCTCCAAGCACGGTAAATAGTCGATTGACAATTGTTCGTGATACTGAAATCATTCGCGCTGTTTATTTCGCTCGTGACCATGATACATAGTTACATTTACACAATTTTATAAATGTCTTTGAAATATTATTACGCACTGTGCTTACGTTTACGATTCGTCGTCTGGCCGATAACAGTAGCATGATCGATCGTCGTAGACTACCCTCGCTTTAACACTTATTCCCTTTTCAAAGAATTGCAATTGTAGTACAGAAAACAATTGCCTGCACTAACAATTACAAATGGCTCGTATGTTTATCGTTCCGTCGTCGATTATAAAATTTGCATCTCGTGTAATGTGACCGCAGAATTTTAGCCGCGAAGCTAAAATGAAAAAGCTTTTTAATAGTCTTATCAAGTTGATTCATTTGGTACAAGTAGTCCGATAAATTTATGAAAATTCGAATCACTCAATAATAGGACGATTTAATTGAGAATTCATGTTGAGGATATGCGCTTCCTAAATTTCGTTATCGCTGTGAATTTCATATTTCACGTACAGTCAATTTTATTTTTAATTTAATTTACATCATCATATATTGTGATATGCGACGCGGCGAAGTTATACCGCATAGAATAAATTTTGCAACGAAACCGACTATGGGAATCAGCGTGAATGCAATTCTGTCGAACAGAATTTAATTATAGTAATATTGTAATATATTCTGTACGAAGAATGAAAATTGTCTTATCGAATCTTGTCAAAATTTGATCAATTGTCAACGTCATTGTAAAATTATCTCTATTAGCGTATCATGTTTCTTTAATTTACGAATAAAATAGTGTCTTGTGCTTGCGATTGCGTAGCAACATCGAACGTCGTACTTGTATGTTATAGATCCTTGATAAAATGATTAATAAATATTAGTACACAAGCACACACGCCTTGGCACATTACTATTTAGAATCTTCATTGTTGTAGGATGATGCAGCATAGGAAAGTGCAATTGATCGGTGCGTAAAATTATTGAGAGAAAAATTAACTACAAAATCTCATATTTCGCGTTAAAGTAAATTTCTCAGAGAATCACGCGTAATAACAAATTCTATAAAAATGGAATACTTTATATCTATGGAATATTGGATAGATTCGTAAATGCATCGCACACATAGGCGCATCGTGTTGACAAATTGTCAATACTATTTTTACGCAAGGATGAAATTTTCTATAAATATGTATCTCGTAGGAACTGACTTGCCGTTGAAGAATGATTCGCTTTTCTTTTCTTTTATAAAACATTCTGTATAAATTTCGCAAATCGGTATGAATCGCTAAATAATTACCTAATAGAAATAACATTCAGTCCCGTTTTTTTTTTTTACAATGTAATCACTCCCCATAGCAGGAAATAGACTATTAAATTATGAATTTGTAAAACAACATTGTAAGATCCGTGCCTTACATGAAATTAAACGTTTCGCGAGTTATTACCGTTTGAACTATTTGTATTTATTTATAAATATAATACACACACACACGAATTTATATATGTATATATAAATGCGTGTATATGTGTACGTATATATGTATATAGAATTATTTAACTACATACAGGGTGATGCAATAAACAGCTCTGAGGGATGATGGGTCGTATACAGTATACGCGATGTCGTTTCAACGGTAAGTCTTCTTTCACTTATTTTTTGTCAATTTGTAAACGAATAATTAATGCGGAGAAAGCATTCTTTTGTCGTGTTGGCAATGGGATTACGATGGTCTTTACGGTTAAGCGTGCCTCTTGCTTCACCCTGTATATTCGGTTGTTACACAACAACAAATTAACAATAATTCTAAAGCTTTGGAGTGATTTCCTTATTAGCTGTGACTTACTTCTCTAATGATACTTCTTCTACTGCTACGTCTAACGAATACTGTCCTATCTATAAGTACGTCTGGACAAAGTCTGTGTTTAGGTAAATATTAAAAAGAGGCTGTAAAGCACAAATACTAAATCTCCTGCCGCCGAGTTATGCGCGAGATGTAGTCGGGGGTAACTTGTACGATGTCGTCTATGTACATACATACGAACCTAAATATTTCCACGAAGTTCTCCTGAAACACGAACATCGTCAATAAATCGGAAACATTCTTGGAAGATCCAGTGAACGATGACAATTTACCTTAATGCAAGGCACCTCGTTGTTAGCTATCACTTGTCGCGGTCTCGTTCACCGTTTTATTGTTAGGTGCAAACTGTTGACTAATGCCTGTCGAGACGGTTTGACTGGGATGAATTACGGGCCCTACCGTTTGGACTAAATTACAGGTAACCGGTACCATTGGCGGCAGATTCACGGAATTATTCATAGGGCTGATATTACAAGATAATGATGGTCTTTTCCTCTCTAAACTGTTCGTCGCCATTTGTCGCCGAGTCGTCGAATTACGTTCAAGACTGTTGGTGACGATGTGGTGCCTTCTCTCTAAACTGGAGCCGGTACTGACATCGGTTTGACTCCCCTGCACCAAGGATGGAAAGTTCCAAAACGATTAAAACGATGATACGGGGTCCGTTGGGATGGTGCTCCGTGAGCATCAGTTGCCCAGCATGGCCACCAAAAAGTGCTTGTTTTCTCAACAGAAACGAATGGGGGGGGGGGGGGCTGTACCCCCACCGTACTACCTTCTCCCGCTCCTCTCCGTTGCGGAAACAAGGACTTTTTTTCTGACCACGCCAGGCCTGACTTACACGGTTCAATGACTTTTACCTGCAGAGGCCGGTCTACTGACTGACCCATCCTGTGCAGGAGATCGCCGCTTTGACTCTGTCTAAACGTTGTGCCTTGCCGTTCGGTCGACTGGCTTCTCCTCAAAAATTGCTCCCCGGATTGACTGGAACGGATACGACCCTCCGGTGTGGACTCTTGGGGAACGCCATCATTTTGTTGCTTCTGGCAAATCTGATTGTCCACGTACGGATAACGAATGCGTATCGAGTCGATGACGTCCAACAAATTCTTAGCGTTCATTGCCAGGATATGAGCAGCCGACAGCATGTCTCTGAAATGATCGAAATTTTCATTAATCTTGCTCCTACACTATCGTGCAATCTGATTGAAATCGGGTACACATTTACTTCCGAGAGTCCGCGTCCAGAGTGGTAGCACTGTACTGTTGAGCTCGTCTCATAGCGGTCACCAATTCGGACATGTTCTTGCTGAGTACTTTGTGCGCCATTTCCACTTCTCGGTGAGTGGATATGGGTAATATGTTCATCAAAGCGTCAACGGACGAGAGGAGTGCTCTCAATTCGGTACCGACCTTGCAAACCAATTCTAAATACTGTTCCGCCTTACTCTGCTGCACACCTACAATGTGATATGCAGCATTCAGGAATTTCCAGAAATGTCCAGACATTATTAAACAATTCAATTCAAGACGCATCTATACCTTGAGATAAGGACATGACCGCACGAACGACGCTGGTAGNAAAAAAGGGTTTTTTTTTTAAAAAGAAAAAAAGGGGGGGGGGGGGGGCTGTACCCCCACCGTACTACCTTCTCCCGCTCCTCTCCGTTGCGGAAACAAGGACTTTTTTTCTGACCACGCCAGGCCTGACTTACACGGTTCAATGACTTTTACCTGCAGAGGCCGGTCTACTGACTGACCCATCCTGTGCAGGAGATCGCCGCTTTGACTCTGTCTAAACGTTGTGCCTTGCCGTTCGGTCGACTGGCTTCTCCTCAAAAATTGCTCCCCGGATTGACTGGAACGGATACGACCCTCCGGTGTGGACTCTTGGGGAACGCCATCATTTTGTTGCTTCTGGCAAATCTGATTGTCCACGTACGGATAACGAATGCGTATCGAGTCGATGACGTCCAACAAATTCTTAGCGTTCATTGCCAGGATATGAGCAGCCGACAGCATGTCTCTGAAATGATCGAAATTTTCATTAATCTTGCTCCTACACTATCGTGCAATCTGATTGAAATCGGGTACACATTTACTTCCGAGAGTCCGCGTCCAGAGTGGTAGCACTGTACTGTTGAGCTCGTCTCATAGCGGTCACCAATTCGGACATGTTCTTGCTGAGTACTTTGTGCGCCATTTCCACTTCTCGGTGAGTGGATATGGGTAATATGTTCATCAAAGCGTCAACGGACGAGAGGAGTGCTCTCAATTCGGTACCGACCTTGCAAACCAATTCTAAATACTGTTCCGCCTTACTCTGCTGCACACCTACAATGTGATATGCAGCATTCAGGAATTTCCAGAAATGTCCAGACATTATTAAACAATTCAATTCAAGACGCATCTATACCTTGAGATAAGGACATGACCGCACGAACGACGCTGGTAGTGCAATCGTAGACTTTGTCGTTGGCCCTATCCAAGTCCGCTGTTGGCGTGGGTTCCATTTTCTGCGATCGAGAGATAAATTAGTCCTGTTCGTTAAAAATTAGAAGATCGAACTAGCAATTGACAAAAAAGCAACACGATACCTTTACGACGATCACTTTTTCCGTGCCCTTGTCAGAGCCAAGGGACCCAGTGTTGGCACTGTGTTGATCGTGATTTGGCGACTGGGTGACCGAGCGAGGTATCGGAGGACTAGCGCTTTCATCTCCGCTCGTTGCGATGGATAATCGTTTCTAAAAGGATTGTTGTTTCAATAGTTATCCTTTTCTCAGACTTTTTATAATATCAACAAAATCTTTTACCTCTTCTCTGGCCAACCACCGACTATCCTCTTCCGACTGGCGTTGCTGCTCCAGCAGACGTTGCTCCAACAACTTTTGTTCGTCGTCGATGCCGCTGCCAAAGTTTTCCGGGACATTGTCACAAAACTGCGACTGCACGGCTCTCTGAAACAGAAGGATCATATTTTACATCACCTCCAGAATCTACGGTGAAAGAATCGTTCGCTCTTACGGTATCGACGAACATACATATGTACACAGTAAAATTAAAGAGATGCATAATTCTCGATGCAAGGTAAAAACCATCTCGGAACGAGAGCAGTGTGCAGTCATACTGGTCGCATGCAGCTCAAATTGTTACAACGTCCACGTTACTGTATTATCATATCCATTCGTCATGCAAACAAAATTCAAAGAGAACAACAGGGATTAGCCTACCAAACTTCATAGTAATGGTAATCATAATAACCATAATAATCGTTATAATAATAACAACGACAATAATCATTCTAATAATAATAATAATTATAATAATAATAATGATAATAATAATAATAATAATAATAATAATAATAATAATAATAATGAGAGACTAGATTTTTGCGTGAACGAAAGTAGAGTGGCCTATCGTGAAACTGTGTGTAACAAGTTACAAAGTGTTCTGTGAACTCGGAGCAAGAGTGTGAGCGCGTCTGCATCAACCAAAAGCATGTTTTGCGCGTATTATATGTACACGATCGGCTCGCAACAAAGGGTGTACGATTGTGCAGCGTTTCGAGTAACGAAAAAACTCTATGGGTGTCTCGCAATCAGTAGAACAAGGAGTAGAATTCGTGCGCTTGATCGCTATTCTTCGGCTTGCACCACCGGACAGACTGGACACCGAGTGCATACAGGTCATGGCAGGACGGGGAGAATTCCTTTTGTAAAAATAGTAGAGCAACATTCCATATGCGCGAGTACAACCCGCCCGGCCGCAGCCTGTACACAGTCTAAAGTCTAAACAATATGCTGTTGCAGAATAGGGGATGCGATTGTTCATTCCTAGGAGGCTTAGCCAAACCTGGTCTTGGTGGGCCTCCTCTGTCATCGAGCTGCTCGATGACATGGTGCTGTCGCTGACAGCGGAGGATATCAGGGATCCGGAGAGCGTACCGTCGATGGAACTAGTCAGCTGTTCATCCGGTTTTTGCGCGACGAACGTGGTGATCTTTGCAATTCCGGTGGCTAGCTGGGGCCCGACGGTTTTAACGATCGCGGGCTGGCAAAGCACCGGTTGCGGCATGTACGCCACGTTCGCCGTGCTCGTTACCAGATTGGTAACATTGCACTGAGACGTGGGCAGGGGCTGTTGGCCAATGACGTAGCTCGAAGTACTCGGATGGACAATTTGCTGACTGGCAGGCTGACCCGCGACACTCGCCACAGCGAACTGCGCCTGAATCGAATGACTTTGAGTCACTGCACCGTACGATAATTGCTGACTCATGCTGCCAGGTTGCGAGCTGGTCACATGGCAGTGTAATATTCCAGGCTGCTGTTGGATCTGATGCTGGATTTGCTGCTGCATTTGTTGCGGGTACGCGGCTCCTTGCAGGACCTTGTGAGCTTGTACAACCGTGACGGAAGTTGCGTGTGCCGTGTAAATCGGATTGGCGCCGCATCCCTGGCTCCCCTGGCTTCCTTGGCTCCCTTGGGTTCCCTGGACCCCCTGGATCTGCTGACCGGTCTGCTGTTGCGTCGGTATATAAGAAACCGGTTGGTGGACCGGCGGATTGTTCTGTCTCTGAAGGTTCTGTACGTGTTGCGACTGCGACAGGTAAACCGGCTGTGCTCCCACCAGCGCTTGTTGGCCAATGTTCGAATAGATTTGCTGTTGCTGTGGCTGCTGGTAATTCTGCGGGTGCATCATCATCGGCTGAGGTTGTAGATTCTGTAGATTCTGTAGATTCTGCGACGACGAGGATGACGGCGCCGCCGCCAAATTGCTCCTTGCGACTTGGACGCAGGTAGCCAGCGAGGCGTTCATCGGCTTCAACTCGGTCACGGTTTGACTCTGTGCGTTTTGCGCTCGGAACTTGAGAACCGGTCCGTAGAGACACTCTGCCGTGGACGTGGACACGGTGTCATTGGACGACGAAGAATTGACGGGCACGCGAGGATACGCGCCTGCTGCAACTGATACGTTTTGCACGGGATTCGGAGCTACGACGAACATGTTCGCGGTTTGAGGCACGCCAGCACTGGGGAACTGTGCGAAACTTGCGGTCTGAGCAGTCGGATTGCCGGGACCTACGATACTGTTCAAGCTACTAGGCCCAAAGTTACCAGGGTTTTCGCCGAAATTACCGCCGACGCTCGGACTCTGGCTGAGATTGCCAACGATGGCGGAACTCTGGGTGAAATTGGCCACGGGGCCGTATATTTCACCGCAGCTCGCCGCCGCGGTGGTCACCGGCACGGCGTTCGACGCGGAGAACTTCTGAACGGGCGAATAGAGGTCCCCGGTTATGCTACCGACCACTTTCGAGCTGACCGCGTACAAATTTTGCATCTCTTTAACCTTTTGCTGCTGCTGCTTTCTGTTTGCAGCGGGTGATTGGGCTTGTGACGTCTCTGAAATTGTCAGGCTGGACATGAGGGGAGCGGTGGTGTCCGAGGATTCGAGAGAGTCGAGATTGGTGGTATCGGACAAGGTAGAATCGGCCGATTGGGTGGTGTCGTGGGAAGCGGACGGTTCCGAGACGGCCGGATCGAAAAACGGTAGGTCAGAGACCACCGCGGTGGTCAGGACTTGGTCCTCGTCTTGGAACTGGACCGCGAGGGTGTTGAAGGGTGAGGCGGGCGTCGTGTACACGGAGGGACATACCCCCCTGGCTTGATTGTCCTTGAGCAGCTGCGCGAGAACCTCAGGGCTTTGCGCCACGATATAGGTAGAGACTGGGGCCGCGGCGGTCAACTGAGATTGGTCCGATGTGTTTTGCGGTTGCCTCGAAGGTTTCGGCGGTGGTACATCGTCTGCACCTGAATCACCAGAGATTATCTCCTGCTCCTCTTATCTGTACCCTTTCTCCTTGTCGCGTACCGGCTGCCTCGACGTCCAACCACTCGCTCTCTCCCTCTCTTTTTAAACTGCGTCTCGAACGAACGTCGAAGCACCCGATACAAGCCACAGCTGTACTCGTTCTCCTCTACGTACCCCAAGACATGGCCTGCACTCTTCTGTTTTCACGCTTCATCGTCTCTTGCTGCTGATGTTTCTCCTCCAATAGAATCTCACTGAAACACGAGAGAATTTCAGTAAACCGGGTAAAGCGGGCAAACCGGGTGATCGTTTTTGCAGCTTACTGTAAAGTTTCTCTGATCTCTTTGAACGTTGGCCGCTTGCTTGGCTCGTAGCTCCAACACTGCGACATGAGAGAGTATAAACGCGGAGGGCAGTGATTTGGTAAGGCTAGTCTTTCCCCGTTCTCCAGCTTGTGGATCACGTCGTGGTTCTTTACGCCCTGAAACGGCTTCACACCGAGCATCAGAATTTCCCACATGCATACGCCTGAAAAAGAAAAGTGTCGCTGTTACTCGAGGTAAGTAGCAAAGGGGGGAGGGTTTATTCTTGAACGGGACCAACCGAACATCCAGACGTCGGAGGAGGTGGTGAATCTTCGAAAATTGATGCTCTCCGGCGCCATCCACTTGATCGGCAGCTTGCATCTGCTCGCGGTGTAATAGCTCTGGTCCTCGACCCACCTGCTCAAGCCGAAATCCGCCAGTTTAACGCAATTGTGCGTCGACACCAAGACATTTCTTGCGGCGATGTCTCTGCGAAACAAAAGCGAGATCAAGCAGGATTCCCTCTGCTTAGGAAGCTATAATTACTCTTGGATGACACAATACCTGTGTACAAATTTCTTGCTCTCGAGGTACGATAAGGCAGTGCTCAGTTGGAAGGTATAAAGCAGAAGCGTGGCTAGGTCCAATCGCTGTTTGTTCGACTGGAGATAAGCCCGCATCTCTCCTAGCCTGGCCAGCTCCATCACCAGCCAGATCGGTGCCTCCGAACAGACCCCGATCAATCGTATAATATGAGGATGCTCGAACTGTTGCATGATATCTGCGACATTCGATAGCCGTTCGTTAGATGCGAAACAGTCGGGTCTCACGAGTCAAAGATCGCGGCGAACCAAGAATCTTACAGGCTTCCTCGAGGAATTTCTCGGAAGTGGCGAGATCCGCGTCCACTTTGCATGTCTTCACGGCGACAGCTATTACCTGGTTGTCCCTTCCTTTGTACGAACCCTTATGTACATTGCCGAACTGTCCGTTCCCGATGATCTCGCCCAGCTCCACTTGGTTTCTGACAATCTCGTAGTCTCGGGCTGAAAGAAGAACAACGTTTAATTCCTTCGTATTTTTTTCGTCTCTGCAGCCAAACCGGAACCGTGTCGATTATTCTTACTAGCTGGCGTCGAGTAATCGCCCTCTTCGTCGACGATCTCCGCGTAGTCCTCCGATAAAATGGTCCCGGTCTTGCTGACGTTCTTCTCCGGACTGTTGGACCCGTCTTGTCTGTACTTCGGCGGATGGGCATCTGTTTTTGGAACCGAGAGCGATCTTAATAACGATCGATCGAACCGCGCGGGGGGCTCATGCAGCATGTCTAGACGACCAGACACGTTAAGTCTACGGGATCATACAAAAACTACAAACCTTTGCATGGACAGGGATAGTTTTTCCACGATGCAGCTTGCAAGTATAAACGATTAGAAACTTAGAGTAGTATATTGTTCGTCGATGCAAAAGGGATGTTCGTGCGAGATACTTGTGTGTTTGTAGGGTAGCGGAGCCGGTTACTGTCGGGTGACCAATTGCTGTGCCTTTGGTTTGCTTTCGGGCATAATTAACTTTACATTTATCGAATAAGATACATTACATCCTTTTTTATTCTTTCGTTGATTTTGAAATGTAATATTTTTATCGATATTACTGTAATTATATTTCCATCAAAAAATAAAGAAGCTAAAAGAATTCTTTTTTATTCAAAATTAAACAAAATGAAAGAATAAAAAGATTGGATACGTCTTATAACCGACTCCACTGCTCTATGTATGTATGTGCGTTATGTCCGTCCGTCTGTCCGTCTATCCGTGTACGATGCGTACTTATCGGTCGATCAAGGCCTAGGTCACCGAGTACAATCAAAGCTAACAATAAGATACGAGAAAGTGTTTGCAGTTGCTTCGAAGCTGCTACACAAGGTTCGCGTACTCTCCTCGAACGTTCAGTTTCTTTCTCGACGCATGCTATAGAAGTAGAATGTTCTCGGGGTTGCCGGGTAACTCGGAGAAGAGCGATCGTGGCTGGTTCAGTACCTTTTCTATTCCACAATGAGGTGTTGCTCCCGGTGACGAGCCTGCAGTAGCCGTCGATCAGGTCCGCGAGACTCTCGGCCTGGTCCAGACTCGAGCAAGTTATGCTAAGAGTCTCGGCAGCCCCGGCCACNATATATTTATATCGTCGTAAATCGCCAGTCTCGAAGTAGAAGTCACTGGAAATTCGTTGCGCGAAAGTAGAATCGATTTACTACAATCGATCGCTCTACCTAAAGTAATTTGTGCATTTGTGTACAATTCGAGCCGGTCGCTGTGGGGTAACTTATTGTTGTTTACCTTTGGTTTGCTTTCGGGCATAATTAACTTTACATTTATCGAATAAGATACATTACATCCTTTTTTATTCTTTCGTTGATTTTGAAATGTAATATTTTTATCGATATTACTGTAATTATATTTCCATCAAAAAATAAAGAAGCTAAAAGAATTCTTTTTTATTCAAAATTAAACAAAATGAAAGAATAAAAAGATTGGATACGTCTTATAACCGACTCCACTGCTCTATGTATGTATGTGCGTTATGTCCGTCCGTCTGTCCGTCTATCCGTGTACGATGCGTACTTATCGGTCGATCAAGGCCTAGGTCACCGAGTACAATCAAAGCTAACAATAAGATACGAGAAAGTGTTTGCAGTTGCTTCGAAGCTGCTACACAAGGTTCGCGTACTCTCCTCGAACGTTCAGTTTCTTTCTCGACGCATGCTATAGAAGTAGAATGTTCTCGGGGTTGCCGGGTAACTCGGAGAAGAGCGATCGTGGCTGGTTCAGTACCTTTTCTATTCCACAATGAGGTGTTGCTCCCGGTGACGAGCCTGCAGTAGCCGTCGATCAGGTCCGCGAGACTCTCGGCCTGGTCCAGACTCGAGCAAGTTATGCTAAGAGTCTCGGCAGCCCCGGCCACCCTCAGCTTGATACACGCCTTCGCGTGTTCCTTGCAGTCCGAGACCAGGGTCTGGATGGACTGTATCTGGGAGAACTCGGCCATTCTCGTCGGCTGCATGCATCAAACAGATTCGGTTTAATCAAGCTCGTGCTCGACTGTGTGGCAAAGGTAGGGCTTCCACAAAGCAGGATAATACAATAATTACTGAAATATTGTCTCGTTCTTATTTGACGAAACGTGTAATGTTAACGATACGAGTGACTTCGTAAACATTTTAGAAAAAAAAAATATCTAGTCAACGTGACAGGAACAAACGATAATTATAATTATTTAATTTCATTAAGGTAATTCTTGCTGTCTCGATTCCTCTCGCATTGAAAACACTTTCAATTTATTCTCTTGATATTGTCTTGGCTTTTCGAAACGAGACGATACAATATCGACATTATCCTCGAGCCTTGTGGAAGTCCTAGGCAAAGGAGATCGCAGCAGGGGAGAAATCCTCTTTGCCGATGCTCAAAGAGAACAACAGACAGAGAGAAAGAGAGACCTACCACCGTTCCGCCTCTGTGAGCCATGTAAGAAATGCCTAAATCTGGCCCGATGACTAGTTCGACGGGTATAGACCAGCTGGCCTGAAAACAAGACAAGCTTTGATATCGTATCGGTATCGTATCGACCTAGGAGACTACGGTCTAGGAACCTAGGGCCTAGAAGAGACCGAGGTGAACGATACCGGCTCGGCTCCGGTACTCACCCCGAGAGCGCATGTGAACCTCTCCTGGTCGAATCTGTAGTGCGCCCTCAGCAGGTCGAAGAACTTGTACATGCAATCCAGTTCCGTGAGTACGGCCACCTTCTTGAAATGCTGCTGTATCAGCTTGCGCAGCGCCTTTGGTTTCATTCCGTTCAACACGGACCGTGGTAGAAACTTGTGCAGACCGACCTGTGACCGAGAACAAGGGAAAACGAGGGAAATCAAACACCTGCGACTACCGGGGGCCCTAAGTCGATTGGTTTCGGATTCAGATCGGGTCTAGATTCTTGCCTCTCTCTCCAGGTACTCGAGGTTGCTCTTCTTATCGAGGGCCATCTGGGGCATGTCCTTGTAGAAGTTGCGGATCTCCAGACAGCAGAGCTGCACCGCCACGTCTTGGTCGAGAGTCGCGTGGTTCGCGCACAGGTAATCGTTTCGAACCTGAGGAAAACGTTCGTTCGGTAAGTCGATCGGTAAGTCGATCGGTATAGCTTAGCTCGGCATCAAGAGTTATGGGCTTCGTTAATAGAGCTGCCAGATACTTTAAAACACCGTCTACAATGGATCTCTTGTACAGCGTGTCTCGCGAAAAAGATACTAAACCACTTAACCACACAGTGTGGTGAATAGTTATGGGACTCGAGATAACTTTTACATTTTTAGTAATGTTTAACGTAAAATTTAACAAAACGCCGTACTTGTAGACCTCTATATTAGAATATAGAAAATAGGGAAAGAAAGAAATATCCTGAGAAAACCAAACTAGATTTCATATTAAGAAGCCATTTTTCAAAATGAAATTGAATTTGCCTATTTTTAGTTTCTCCTTTATTGCAAAGAAACGAAATTTTTATTCCTGCACTTTCCAGGAGATTGTAAAAAAATACATATTCTAGTTTTTAAACGTGTATATATTTTTTTAAAAAAGTGTTTCACCTTTTCTACCCGGTTTAATAAATATTATTATGATTATTATTACAGAACGCATCGAAATACCTGGTCGTAGTAGTAGTAGAAGGTCACTTTGTCCTTCTCGTAGAGATCGTTCAGATTCTGCGGCAGGTATCTCACCCTCAGTTCGTACCTCCACTCGCAGTTCGGATGCTTTTTCTCGTACTTCTCTTGAACCTGATACATGGTGGTGTCTTGGTGCAACCAGTAACTCTCCCCCGACCCAGGGTGATGCAGCCTCATGGCGTAGAGATTTCGGTAGTGTCTCGTGCCGACCGCCAACCGACTAGTCACGAGGGAGATGATCCCTCGAACGTCGATCGCGTCGCCGAACTTGATCACGTTGAAGCCACCTGCAGCAAATGACCGAACGACTCGCATATACATGAATATCTAAAGTGCTGTAACTTCGCGAAAAAAATCGCAACTTCGTTCCGTTTGTTTTAAATTGAAGACGAAGGATCAAACTTCATTCGGCTGTGAACGACACCTCCGAAAAAAATTCGACAAAGTCCGTGCATTTCGTCAAACTCGGCAATTTTCAATGTGACAAACATGGCCTCGCATTTAAGGGGATACAGTGGCGAGGGTGCATAAAATTTTAAATCCACGAGTACTGTTTTAAAGCAGAGCTTTCAAGCTTCAATTTAAAAGAAAAGACCATTATCCTGCGATCATTTTTCGCGGAGTTATCGTCGGCGGAAGTTGGCCAATTTTTATCATTTTTGTTAGCGCAGTGTATATTAATAAATAAATAAATGGATAAATAAATAAGTATATCCGAATGTTTGAAATTCGATTCGAAAAGGAACTGTTCGATTCGACTCACCGTTGGGTAGATGGACTTTCAGCGTGGCCTTGTCCATGGGGGTGGGCGATCCATGGGGCGGCGTGTTCCTTCCGCCGCCGGAGCCCTGGACACCGCCACCACCGCCGCCACCACCATCTCCCACGCCAGTGCTCATCCCCTCATGGCTGACATGGAAAAGAGAGCAGAGAAACAACAGGTATAAGAAGCATGGCATCGAAGGCCGGCTCGCGAGGCTTTCTGCGAGCCTTTTTTTGCGAGCCTTTCGCGAGAGGCTTTCGCGTCAATTATGCATTATCCGGTAAAACCTCGGCTCCGCGCTGGCCCGAGTCAACGCGGAGAAGCTTGCCTTCTCGACGAGGCGATTAATTATTCGCCGGTGCATAAAGGAAAAAAGGATTTCGCCGGGAAACAAAATTCTTCTTTAAAAAGTTCTTATTTGAAAATACAAATCTTCGACCACCGCATAATAGAAGAAAAATTAGCGATATTTTGTTCGCAAACGAAGCAACCAGAGGCCACGTTTCATCGCCAGAAATGATTGTAAATCAGTTAATATAACTCGTTAATCATTGATCGGATCACTTGTCGCGCATCTCTGTGAATCGCGCACTATTTTATTGTGTAACACGTCGCACAACGTACGAATCACAAAACTGTCTGAACAGAATGATTAATCACGATAACTCCGCGCACACAGAAACAGGCAGAATTGAACAATCCCTGAGAAGTCTAAATGTGCACAATAATGATACAAATTCGCGATAATGCTATTTATATAATTATAATGTCGACCGTGCGGCGTCCGATGGAATTCCTGCGCGAGCGTCTAGACTTTCCCCTGCGAGTCGAGCGCGACGCGAGCGTTCGAGAAAGGGTAAAGGAGTTCTATTACGTTTTCAGAAAGTCTTTCAGCCTCTTCGAGATTCCTTCGACGCTAAGGTACTCCTTTTCCCGATGGTTCCACGGTAGCGCCATCCACCACGAGCGCAGCCGACGCGCGACGGCGTTGATCATCGTTTCCATTTCGCGGCGGTGATCCTCGTTCCCCGATGACGCAGACACTTCCTTGAAATTGCGGCAGGTGCCGGCGGATATATCTTGCGTAGATCCGACGATCCCGATGATCGGAACACGACTGAGCGCTGTCGCGGACGCGCCGTGCGTCGATCGCGTTCGGCCTCTTATCAACAGGTCGATTCATCGATAATCTTCACCGTTGATTTCACCGGATCGCACGCGCATTCATTACTTTCCCCGATTCAGTGTTTCCCGTATAGCCCTGTATGAGCTGTCCGAACGCCAACAGTTTCTTATGGAAAAAGTTGCCGGCATCTCGAGCCGGCCGAACGACCGCGACACTTCAAAGTCTCGCGCTTTATTGGACCCGTTTAGGGCCATCGAGAGGATTAAACCTCGGTTTACCCTCTCGAGATCGCTCGAGATCTTTCGAGACCGCTCGAGGAGCCTCGGGGATGCAGTCGCCGCCTGTGTACCGAGCTTTTAAGATTCTTGAAACCCCGCGATTAGTTTCCGCTGCATCCGAGGTTGGTCAACGGTGGGAATCGTCAGCGAACTCCGGCTCCCGTTCTCGATCGCGATTCGATCGAGATTCGGGGGCGGGTTGAATGCAACGTCTATTTGATCCGACATACGATATCTAGAGTGCGGATTTTTATGCGAAATAAAAGTTGCAAGACGCGGAAGCCGCGTAGATGTTTCTTTCATCTTTTTTTTTTTTTTAACACTAAACCTACCGCGGTCAAAGTGACCGCTTTCTTATTTTGCAATTCTGCAAAGTTCTGAGATTCTTTCGTGGAAAACGCTTGAATAAGTTATATTATTGTTAAGTTATATTATTCTCACTTTTGTGAAACAGTACATGCTAGTTAGTATTACTGCTTGGTAGGCTTAGTGTTAATTATTTTGTAGAGTTGAAAGTAATACAATAGTATTTGATCTATATATTCTGTATTTGTATATGTTCTGTATTTGATCTATATATTTCTGTCAGAAATTCATCAAGTCCGCAGTCAATGATATCTTATGTTGAAAGCGATAAAATGATTGATATGTGAATCACAACTTATTAACACTATGCCGTCCGCAGATCTTAGATATGATTCTTTTGTTTGACGCCGGCATAATAGCTTGGAAATTTTAGATTTTACAAAAAATTTCGAAGATGNTCGCGGCGGTGATCCTCGTTCCCCGATGACGCAGACACTTCCTTGAAATTGCGGCAGGTGCCGGCGGATATATCTTGCGTAGATCCGACGATCCCGATGATCGGAACACGACTGAGCGCTGTCGCGGACGCGCCGTGCGTCGATCGCGTTCGGCCTCTTATCAACAGGTCGATTCATCGATAATCTTCACCGTTGATTTCACCGGATCGCACGCGCATTCATTACTTTCCCCGATTCAGTGTTTCCCGTATAGCCCTGTATGAGCTGTCCGAACGCCAACAGTTTCTTATGGAAAAAGTTGCCGGCATCTCGAGCCGGCCGAACGACCGCGACACTTCAAAGTCTCGCGCTTTATTGGACCCGTTTAGGGCCATCGAGAGGATTAAACCTCGGTTTACCCTCTCGAGATCGCTCGAGATCTTTCGAGACCGCTCGAGGAGCCTCGGGGATGCAGTCGCCGCCTGTGTACCGAGCTTTTAAGATTCTTGAAACCCCGCGATTAGTTTCCGCTGCATCCGAGGTTGGTCAACGGTGGGAATCGTCAGCGAACTCCGGCTCCCGTTCTCGATCGCGATTCGATCGAGATTCGGGGGCGGGTTGAATGCAACGTCTATTTGATCCGACATACGATATCTAGAGTGCGGATTTTTATGCGAAATAAAAGTTGCAAGACGCGGAAGCCGCGTAGATGTTTCTTTCATCTTTTTTTTTTTTTTAACACTAAACCTACCGCGGTCAAAGTGACCGCTTTCTTATTTTGCAATTCTGCAAAGTTCTGAGATTCTTTCGTGGAAAACGCTTGAATAAGTTATATTATTGTTAAGTTATATTATTCTCACTTTTGTGAAACAGTACATGCTAGTTAGTATTACTGCTTGGTAGGCTTAGTGTTAATTATTTTGTAGAGTTGAAAGTAATACAATAGTATTTGATCTATATATTCTGTATTTGTATATGTTCTGTATTTGATCTATATATTTCTGTCAGAAATTCATCAAGTCCGCAGTCAATGATATCTTATGTTGAAAGCGATAAAATGATTGATATGTGAATCACAACTTATTAACACTATGCCGTCCGCAGATCTTAGATATGATTCTTTTGTTTGACGCCGGCATAATAGCTTGGAAATTTTAGATTTTAAAAAGAATTTCGAAGATGGCGGTAATATAAATGCCTAAAATTCAGACATGTCATCCAAGAATTTTCGTACTTAATTCTTATTATAGTTAAATAAGCACAATACTAAAGTTAGTTCGCTGCCTTTTAACACCCAAGAAATATAGTTTAAATGCTATTTCAGTTTTTTAAAATGGCACCAAAGTGGTACCACCGGCATACAACAGATAGTTATTGCATGGCACCATGCCGTGGTGCCACCGGACGGCATAGTGTTAAAATGATTCATGAAAGAAAGAATATCATAGTCGGCTCATTTGCCATGCAATCTGTTGCTTATCTATTTATCCCTTTGCACTCGAGTGGCGACTCTGAGGTGTCAGAAAGAAAGAAAGAAATTGATATACTATTTTTCAAAATCATTGTAAGAGCATCAGATTCTTTTATATTAAAAAAAAATATATTAAAATTGCATTGTACTTGCCAATAGGCTCAATTTCATACGCATGAATCGCGATAAATTATATAAAATAGAAAAATCGTAGGTCAGAAAATGTGTTTTGGATTTCGAATTCAAGCAGCTTCGACTGCAAAGAGTTATAAGATTGGAAACGAATTTACATAAACTGTTCGTCGAACTGCTGACTCTCGCCGTTTCTGTACTAAATCTGCGTCAATATTCGATTTTATTCCGTATCGTAAAAATGTGATTTCACCCGTATATAAATAAATAAATAAATAAACGAAGCAGGTCGTCTCGCAGGATTCCGCGGCGTTATAGTCCGCGCGTTACGTAACCGTGGCACGGCCGAAAGCGTTCGAATGCGTTCTCAACGACACCGCGAAACCCGAGGTTTATCGAAGAAAGGAAAACGCAAGGAGCCGAGCAAGAGGAAGAGGAAGTGGAAGTGGAAGAGGAAGAAAGAGAAGAAGTTCTTTGAAAAGCCACGCGGACGCGTATACATATATATGTGTAGGCATCGGCCGCGTCCCGTGGTTCCGGCGACCGTGTTTCAAGCGGCGAAGGGTTTTCAAGAATTTCTAAAGCCGCGGCGGCGAACACTGCACCCCGACGACGATGACGCGCCAATTGTTCGAGCAGGCCGTCGCGAATCGCGTCGCAAATGGTCGTTGCGAACGGTCGTCAACCGCGGCTCGGAGCGCAGACAATATCCTCAACTTTTCTTTTATCGCGGAATTGGCTCCTTTCAGCCGGAAGTCGAATTTCGCCGCTATTAAGCGGGAGAACAACGGAAGAGAGAGACAGAGATAGATAGATAGATAGAGAGAGATAGATAGATAAATAGAGAGAGAGAGAGAGAGAGAGAGAGAGAGAGAGAGATTGCGCGCTCTTCGGCCCTGACCCGACGCTCGCAAAACTACCACGCACCTGCGACTGTCGCCCACGCACTTTACCTTTCACTATTACTTTCTCTATTGCGCTCTTGCATCGTCGCGAAGTTTTGAAATAGAAGTATTTGAACCCTAGAACGACCTCCTGGGGTTACCGATGACCCCACGGCATTTTTCCTATGCACTTGGCAAACGCATCAATGAATAAAGCGAAGATATCTTTTCACGTAAAATCGCGACCGAGCAAAATTAATTACGCAATGCAATAAATAAATTTTGAAAACATCGAGGTTTTCCTTAGGAACGATCGCCTTCGATCTGTCCATCCAAAGCGTACCTCTTACGGGACACCTTGTGGAACTTCCAGGTGCCCAGGGTGTCCGGACTGTAGGACTCGGAGCAGCCCAGCTGGCCAAGGGAGCACAGCAAGCCCCCGTTTTCCTTCCTCCATCGTTTCTCCCTCTGGTAACCTTTGTCCCTCTTCAGGAAGAACAACCCTTTCGCGT